ATAGCACAAACAGGGAACCTCAATGAATGCAAAAGTCTAAAGACATCATTCAGGAGATTATAGGTCCCCCAGATGGAACACAAAGCATAATAAAACAATTTAACTATATTATTAATTTGTGATATAGTCTTAATGAGGGAAAAGGTTCTGACCTAAGTAATAAGAAATGGGTGAAGTCTCTAAGACTAAAGCCAAAATAAGCTAAACATATGCACTGTTCTCCAGTGGGTAAAGTTGTTTCCCTCATTAGATATAGGTTAAAAATTCCAATTTCACTAAACAGCTATGTTGGAAGAGAATAATTAAGTAACTGGATGAAAGATGGTGGGAACCAGTTTTCTCAAGATTTAATTGAGAATTTACAGATGAACAAGTGGTAGAGGCTAGAATAATTCACATGCTAATGAATTAGAGTTGGAACCATTAGTATGAACTTAGGTTTAATTTATTATAAATACAAATTTTTACATATTTAAAAAATTTATAGAAAGGGCTTAGAAGATATTATACCCAACTATAACCAATGAGTAGCAACAAGTATCCCAAGATGTAGATATTAGTTTCCAGTACATTTCCCCAATTAAATGTCCATGAATTCTGAAAAAAAAATATCTGATACTAGTCTTGGACAATAAGTACACAATATGTGTGTGGAACATTTTCTAGAACCAGAAATTAAGGAAGTGCTTAAACACACAGATGTACATGATGGGGGTATGCTAAAATGACTGAGGAGCCAATTTAAACAAGTCTTAATGGACAAATTGAAACATTTTGAGGACAAAATTAAAAAAAAACTGTATGGATTATAAAAAATGCAAAATTAATATTTATGAGTTTATATATGATATAGACAATTGGATAAACAGATACGTGTGGGAGAATAGACATGTCTTGTGTAGAAGTCCACATAATTTATATGGCTACCCTGCTCTCAAGAATTGGCGCAAAACTCCTCACTCCTTATGTGATACAATACAATAACTTTCTTCTAAAAATACAATAACTTTCTTCTAAAAATAACTTTCTTCTAAAAATAAATTTCTTCTAAAAAATATAGTATGGAAAGATGGAAAGCCCAATTTATGTGAAAGAACCTGACAAAGACTGTTAGGTCACCAAGATCAATATCAACAATGGTAAGTCATGTTGATAGTATGATATGTTGTGATTTTCTCTCTCTGATTTTCTTTTCAAGAACACTTATCTCTAGCAAAACTCTGAAAAAAATCAGCTTTACCCTTCCCATAAATAGGGCATTCTAAAAAATAACCTGGTCACTACTCAGAATATAAAGTTCATCAAAAATGAGGAAGGTAAGAAAAAGACACAGACAAGAGAAGCTTGAGACATGACAGCTAAATGTATGTCCTATCCTGAATAGGATCATGGAATAGAAAAAGGATGTTAGGCAAAAAATAAGTAAAAATGAATAAACTGACAACTTTTAATAATAATGTATCATCATTACTTCTTTAGTTGTAATAAGTGTGCTATGCTAATGTTAGATAGTAAAAATAGAAGAAATTGGATATGGGTATATGGGATCTCTACTATCTTTGAAATTTTTTGGTAAATCTAAACCTATTCTAAAACCAAATGCTTATTTTAAATTTTTTTTAAAAAAAGATATGGATGCGGATCCATAGTAGGGTTGGGGGGCAAGGGAAGAATGGAGGAACTTTGGGTTGGGCAATGGAGATTGAGGGCAAGGGAGGGGATATGGCGGTGGGAAAGATGGTGAAGTGAAATAGACATGATTACTCTATGTACATGTATGATTGCATAAATGGTGTGACTCTGTATCCTGTCGAGCCAGAGTAATGAGAATTTGTGCTCCTTTTGTGTACACTGAGTTGAAATGCATTCTGCTGTTCTGTTAAATTAATTGAAAAAAATTTAAAAAGAGATTGTTCTTGACTCTAAGATGCTCACATTCCTAGAGAAAATCAGGAATGTGTGTGAAAAATAGCTGTAAAACAATGTGCTATGTGCCACAATAGGATGCTAAAAGTGTCATCAAAGTGAGGACTGCTTGCCTCAAAGAGGAGGTAAACATTTTAGCTGTGCCTTGAAGAAAGCATAAACATCAGTCCTGTGATCAAATGGAAGAAAAAGCCTTCCAATGGAAAAACAGTATGAGTAAGGGTTCACAGGAAGCATATATGCAGAACAGTAAAAACTTGAGTATAGTTAAGACTTAGAAAAGACAGTTGGGGGGCTGGGAATGTGGCTCAAGCTGTAGCGTGCTCGCCTGGCATGCGTGCGGCCCGGGTTCGATCCTCAGCACCACATACCAACAAGGATGTTGTGTCTGTCGAGAACTAAAAAATAAATATTAAAAATTCTCTCTCTCTCTCTCCTCTCTCACTCTCTCTTTAAAAAAAAAAAAGAAAAGACAGTTGGGGGTAGAGATGACCCTGAGAAAATTTTAATTTTTAAATATAAGAATATTTGAAGTACCCAAAATGCTGGGCAGATTTATTATTCCATTACATGTGATATACTTTCAATAAGGGAAGAACCAGCCATTATCCCTAACAATATTTCCTGCACCCTGCACATTTAGACTCTTTAGCCAGAAATTTCCTTTCCACATATAGAATTTTTTTTTTATTTTTAAAGAGATGTTCCAACAAACTTTAAAATATTTATCATCAGCTTAATGCAATTCCACTAAAACTTAATGATATGCTTGGAATAACATTTATATTAAGTACAACATAATGATATGACAATGATGTACAGAAAACCAAGATAAAAAATAAATTGATTCTTCATCAGGAACTTTCTACCTTTGTTGCTTTACTGAAGGACACAATTTATATCTTAAGTATTACTATATAATTTAGTTATAAAGTAAATGTGCTAAATAATCACACCATTTAAATCAATGTTATGCACTAAATATCTTCTTAATGTCCTTGTTAATTCCTAAAATGCATTTTAATACATAGTATTTTAATTCTATGGTATGGAGTTCTCCATTTACTAAGAGACTCATATGTACTCAAAATGAACTTTGTAATCTGTTTGCCCAAAAGTGTCACCAGTAATACTATTTAATATGGAATTATGGTAATAAGTTGAATGAATAAGTTGAAGAAAACTTTCATTATAACATTTACTAATTTTCTCTTGGATGTCAGGATTTAAATATTCTTTATTTTCTTATGAGAAAAACTGAAATTTTGAACCAAGATTAGGAGTATAGTGCTCCTCAATATCATTTAGGATAGAAAAATTCTGTTCTCGGTTCTACCAATTAAGTCTTATGTAAATTGTTTGACCTTTTGGGACCGAATATCCACTTTCTATTTGTCTCATATAGCTAATGATTAAAAGTTATAGTATTTCTGGAAAGGAAAACAATGTGCTTAACAAGGATGAATTCTACATTCAGAAGAATAAACACTAGAAATGCTTATTATTTCTATTCAGAATGTATCTGTTCCTTGATATTTTAAAATTTGTTTGCCTCAATTCCTACTGCTTGGAAAAAATTCTTCAGTATAAATAGAGTAAAATAATGAATAGAAAAAAATCTTCAATATTTAAGGTATAGCCAGATATATTTTCTATTGGCCCATCAAAATAAAGGTAAAATGATAAAAGTGTTGATTTGAATTTTCTTATACAGACACTATTCAACACAACAAAACTGAAAACCAAATGATTGCAAGTTATAGACATGTTTATGGTAGGTACATAATACAAATCAGAAATTAAATTTGTTTTTTGTATTCAACTCTATCATATTTTGCAAGTGTAAGTTGTTTACTATGTCTAATATTTATAAAAAGTATTGCCAAAGAGCACCTTATTTATTTAATTAAAATTTCCTTATATCAAAATAATTATTATTCATCAATTAAATTCCATGAAACCAAAAGTAGTTTTCAGCTAATATATCATAACTTGGTGATTTAAAAGAAAGTGATTGTTATGAGATCTATATCACAAAACATTTTTGTATAGAGGAAAATTATTTTATGTGAATCAATAAACAAATCAAAGCCTCTTTGATTTAAATTAATGTTTTTATGATTTTCTAAATGTGTTTCATAAATATGACCATACTAAAAAAGTCATCACTCATCTCTCTCAATAAGAATTCTCAAATAATGTCTTTCTCTACTCAATATTGCTCCTATCACCCCCATCCTGGCATTTTCATATGGAACTGTTTTTAGAAAGTGGTTTTACAATAAAGTGAAGAAAATTATTAATACAATTGTATTCACAACCAAAATTATGAACATTTTGGTATAATCCTACTTTTACATACTTAATTTATACATAGTAACTTACATCATTTGATCCTTGCAGAAACCTCTCTTAAATAAGGCCGATGTTACATCATTTTATACATTTAAAACTAATATTCTGAAGATTGTAGTGATTCAACCAAGATCACGAGACAAGTGAGATGTAGATTCATGACTATAGACAGTGTTCTTAAAATTGTTCTTACGTCTTCCCACTTTAACAAAATACAGGAACAATGCTAGGTAATGCTTCTTACGTAATTATTTTGTGACTACACCTACAACCTCCAGTTCATAAGATCACATATGTCAGATTTATAGAGAGATAAATGAAGAAAAGAGAAAAATGGTTTTTCTAATTTGGAATAAAACAGAACATAGAGGTAGATTTCATACATCAATTTCATCACTCTAGAAAATGTTTCCCAAAATGATACCACTACAAAATATAAGCATAATTTTCTGAAATTGTAAACTCATTATTTCAAGTACTTTAAAAAGCTAGCATTTCTATAATTCCCTAAACACATTCTCTTTAACCTTTCAAATGTATTGCAGCATGAGATGATTTAAAAGCAAGTAGGAATAAATTTCACCTATAGGAATCCACTTAGCATTTGATTTGAGTGCTTTTTCATAGCATAGATTAAAAAAAATCGATATGTAGCCCCAAATTTAACTTAAAATTATAATTTCATTACTTGCAAATGAAATACTAAAAACTGTAATTACCTGTAACAGTTAATTCAGTAGTTCTTCTCACAACAAAGCCTCCATATTTTAATTCACAGGTATAATTTCCAATGTCATCTTCTCTGACTTCTCTTATAAGCAGGGTATCTCTTTTGAATACAATACTTGGCCTCCATATTTTTGTCCTACATTCCTACATAAAGAACATAAACTTTGGGTAGTACATGTAGTATTGAAAAATAAGGTTCTTTAAATCACTATAATGGTAATTTATAAACTTATAATTTTAAGTGACAAAAGTTTTTGAAATTAATGTTAAATAGTTTCATTCTGATTTTAAAGCTCTGGGAAATCAGATACCTTAATTTGAAAACAGTATTTTTAGAAAGAGGCATGTTAGTAAGTTTAGCATCTCTACATTAGGTATGTACTTATTTATTAATTATGAGAAAAGACATATATGTTCATTATTCCTAACTTAATTTAAAAAGTAAATGCTTAACATTTGATGTTTATGAAATTAATCATACTGATATTAATAAGAGAAAACACAAAATACATTATTTTAATGAAAAGTATAAAGTTTTAAATTATAAAAATAGTTTAAATATATGAATGTACAAATATTTGAAATGATATTTAATTTAGTAAAAATAAAATCTCTTCATAGCATGTATATTCTATAATCCATTAGAGATATAGCCAACATTTTATGCCAGGGTTTTATACTCCCATAAATATCTATTTTCCTCTTTGATAGACCTACCAAATTATGGTTTCTGAATTAAGCTTTGGATTATAATGACATTGGCTCAGGAGATTTCTATTTTTGCCAAAACAAAAGTCCATATCCCCCAGCCAGATTTGAAATCAATGGAATGAGGATGAAAAAATTAAAAAGCTTAACACCTTTGATGCTATTGAAAGAAAATACTATTTGTAAAAAATTTTATTGCCAGATCAAATTTTTGCATGTCATGATTTTATGTGGCTCAATGCTTCTGTATACTTGTGAGAGGCAATTATCCAGCTATTTTATATCAAAATACACATTCTATTGTTCACATTAGTTATGTAAGTTGTCAAAACTGCATAAATCCTGTGGTGAATTATGGAATCTATATTTAGCCAGAATAATTATTTCATAGTATTCTACTTTCACATTCATCTTTCAATCTCAGCTATTTAGACTATAGATGTCAAGTCCTAATGATGGAAATATAATCTGAAATATAAGACTTTTAATTTCTACATAAATGTATCTCTACCAATGATTATGGTCTTTATAGCTTGAGGTCAAAATGATTGTGGTGATGGTGGAAACATGACTAAAGCACCAATATGAACACAGTTATTTTTAAATCAAATGTGTGTCAGTGTATATAGCCTCTCATCTTTCAGCAAAATTTGAGATGCTCTTTACAGAAGGTGATGAAATATATAGAACTTGTAAAATCAATTTATTAGTTATGTATCTAGCAGCTGAATGACCACATAGACATAGGATTAGAACAATATTTGGTTTGAGAGAACTTGGGTCTAATTTCTGTAATACCACTCCCCTTGTAGCAGTCATCAGGACTTGTTCACAATTTGCCTTTTGAAGGCATGAAAACTTCTAAGTATCAAGAATTAGAAATACTCAAATATAAAAATGAAAAAAATAAATGAAAAAAAAAACACATTCCCACAGGAACAGAAATCAGTGTTGCTAATTTTGAGTGCTGTTCAACATCTCTAGGAATAGAAAACAAAGGGACAAATCGAAAAAATTGTCAACTGTTCCCTTGATCTTCTGAGTTCTCCATTGCCCATTATAAAGAATCAAAATTAAATCTTACTCAGAGAAGAGCATTGCTAATTTTGGCAAAATCCTTTTGAAATTGTTCAAGGGTTTTTTTTCTTGCTTTATTTTTAACAGATTTTGAATTCATGAGCAATCAGTTATGAGGGATCCTATTCTGAGACTGACATTTGTGGATCTAGTTATTAAGAGGCCCAGTTTCCTCAAGTCCAACTTCTAGCAAGTTAGACAAAGTAAATTTAACATGAGGAATCTTTAATACACAGATAAAATATTCCATAGAATGTTCACATCAATACTCTATTTGTTTAGTACATCCAAAGCAAAAAACATTCTTACATGGCATAAATAAGCTTAAAAGTGTAATAAATTATGGAGTTTCAATGAATATTATTGATGTGATATGGAAAAAGGGGATTGGATTATACTGTCTTTGATTTTAAAGTTTCTTTTTGTTTTTAAAGAAAATAAGTTTAATACTATTTTTATAATGGTACAAAATGTTCTCAGATGTTATTTCTTTTAAATATGTAGGCTTATATATACATTTAGATTAGATTAGAATTTGGACAATGTTATATTCATTAAATAGGAAATCCAATTAAAATTATTATATCATATTATCACAAAAGTAAATCAATTATTTTTCTCCTAGTTTGGGGATATTTTATAATGCTAATATGAAGAGCTATTAAATCAATATTCAACATATTTTAATTCCTGAAATTATCAACCTATAACAGAATTTAAAGAATTGTCCCTAAATAAGATCTAAAAATAGCAACTTATTATAATAGAATACCAATATAAATGTTAACCAATATTCTGTTTATTAAAGTCACAGTTTTAAAATGACCAACACAACTTGCTGTAGCATTCTAGGAAAATAGAACTGAATTATATCATACCTACTTAATTTTTATCAATTTTATCCAGAATAAGATACACATTAAATTATTTATAGGCAATAAATTCATTCACGATCCATACCTTATACCAAAGGATTTCAGGTTCTCTGGTTGGTAGCAAAAAATCCTCTATGTCACGGCATGAGATTTCCTTGCTTTTGCTAAGTTCAGCTTTTTCAAAGTATTTCATTTTGGAATTGTAGCAGAGTCCAGTGTCATTTTCACCCACTGTCAGTGAGATGGATACTTTCATACAGTAAGTGGAGTTTCTGTAACAAACAGAATAAATATGGTGACCCACTGTGAACAAAAATCAAGTGCTGCCAACACAGAGTGTTTAAATCACTCAGGAAAAAAAAAGAAGGAGAAAGTCCATTGTTTAACTCATTTTATATTTTCTTGGCATATTATTCAGGGTTCCCTCTTGTTATGTAACTAAACAACACTTGGTCCTGTAATGCTAACTGTATATTTTATATTTGCCAGAAAAAAAAAAGTTTTGTTTTATATCCAGGTTCAGTTTGAAAAGTATTTAATGGAGATTTTTTCTAGAAGATAAAAGGAATAAAGGAATATTTAGGTCAGGAAGAAAGTCAAGCTTTGGGTTATGCTAAAATTGGCAAACTCAACAGAGAAGTAGAAAACAGACCTATTTTTTTAATATTTATTTTTTAGTTGTAGTTGGGCACAATAATTTTATTTTATTTATTTATTTTTCTTTTTGTGGTGTTGAGGATCTAACCCAGGGCCTCACATATGCTAGGTGAGTGCTGTACCACTGAGCCACAAGCCCAGCACTGAAAACAGACCTATTAAGTACAATAAAAGGGCAGGATTAATGCTGCTCAAGACTTGTATTACTGGTTGTCTTACTAGTAAGAAATTTTATTGAGACTGGGCAGAAAAATATTCTAAAAAATTAACCAGGCATGGTGGTGCACATCTGTAATGCCAGGTACTCAGGAGGCTGAGGTAAGAGGATTGCAAGTTGGAGGCTATCCTGAGCAACTTGGTAAGACCCCACCTCAAAATAAAAATTAAAATGTGTTTTAGATCTGGGGAATGTGGCTAAGTGGTGGAGTGCTTGTTTGGTATGGCCAAGGCCCTGAGTTCAATCCCCAGCATCAAAATAAAAAGAAAATGTGTTTGAGATGTAGGTCCTTTGTAGAGCACCCTTAGTTCAATCCCTAGTATACTTCCCAAAACAAAAAGTAAGGGCCAAGATTGGTAGCCCACACCTGTAATCTCAGCAGCTCCAGAGGCCGAGGCAGGAGGATTTCAAGTTCAAAGCCAGCCTCAGCAAAAGCGAGGTGCTAAGTGACTCAGTGAGACTCTGTCTCTAAATAAAATACAAAATAGGGCTGGGGATGGGGCTCAGTGCTTGAGTGCCCCCCCCAAAATAGTATTGTGAAATCATAATCTTTCCCCATCCATATTTATTTGGCTTGAGACTTGGAGTTCAGGTTGTCAGAGAGAAGCATTCTAAAGTATTATAAGAACAACTCTTTGCTCATAGACATATTCTACACAATTGGGTCACTAATTCAGCACCTCATTTCTTTTTCTTTCCTGGCTCCAAAGTCAATATTATAACTTGGATAAGTGAGAATAGGAATATTTTTTTGAAGAATTAGGAGTTAATGAGTGAAATTTATGTGTAAATTGCAGTACTTATGCTTGCTATGTAAGTCTGTGGCCATTCAATGAACACTGATAATGTTTTATGCATGATGCTGGACAATGGAAATAAATAAACATCAGGTATAATGTCTGGTAGAGAACTCTCCATTTGGTAAGAGTCCAACTGCTAATTTATGTAATTGGCCATCAAATTTCTGTTATTTGAGTTTTGTTTGTTGCTTATTATCTCTGTAAAAGTGGGCAATTTATTCAACTCCTCTGAGCCTGGGGTGGGGTGAAGGACAGTACTTATTTGAGTATTACATGGGGTATTAATAGAACCCTGTAAATCCTGTCATAGGTATTCAGTGATGGTGATTCCTTTTTTCCTCCACATCTGTGTAAATGGACCTCTTCCTTATGAAGTCAAGATTCTCTGATATTTAAGCAGCTCCTTGATTTAGATCCTTGCTTTGCTTAAATGCTAATAATGCTAAATAAATATGAGAATGACCAGAAAATAAATTAGTTATTTAGTGTTAGAGTAACAAAGAATATTTAGAAAAATTAGAAGATTCTTTTTAAATGTACACATCTCCATTTTTCTATACTTTCTGGCCTATAAGTAGATCTCAAGTATTTAATAGGTAAAACAATTAACCATTAAAGAATATCATTCAGAAGTCCAAAAAGAGTCCTGAGAGTTTAGGGACTTTGCAAGAATGAGAAGATGTTTCCTATCCTCAGCCTTTCAAAATTCAAGAAAAAATATATATAAGAAAACAATTGAGGGGCTGGGGATGTGGCTCAAGCGGTAGTGCGCTCGCCAGGCATGCATTCGGCCCGGGTTCGATCCTCAGCACCACATACAAAACAAAGATATTGTATCCGCCAAAAACTAAAAAATAATAATAATAAATATTAAAAATTATCTCTCTCTCTTAAAAAATAAAGGAAACAATTGAAAAATTTGATGTGATATACACTACAAAACATATATATTACCAAAGTGGTTTCAAGGAAACAAACAATGAGACTTCATAAATGGTGATACTTGGATTGTCTTAAACAATGAGTAAGAATTTAGCAATTTTGAGGAGGGCCATTTCAGGCAATAGTATATTTAGATGCTAGAAGGTATAGAACAACTGGATATGTTTAAGGAATTGCAAATAACGTGATATGGCTAGAGTATAAAGTAGTTACAAAAGACTTGAGACTGGAAGATTGCACAAGAGCAAGACTGAAACTCATGTAAGCTGCTTCAAAGAGTTTGGATTTTATATTTGGAAATGATGAAATACGGATACTGAAAACTATTTCCAAATAATGAGAAAAAATAGACTGAATTGGAAGGAAGACTAAATGCAGTAAGGCCAATTGGAAAGCAATAAACTCATTTAGGAAAAAAATGACAACCCTCAAAAAAGGTAATTTGTATTGGGGTAGGAAGGGTCATGTTCAAAATATATTTAAGATGTTAAATCAAAACAACTGAGAGGAAACAGAAAGGCATGAAAGATGGATATTTTTCTCAATTAAGTATATGAAAGGTAGAGTCAATCTTTCAACATGGAAAATACTGAAAAAGAAACAGCTTTAAGAGAAAAGAAAGTGTGCTAAATTTGAGTTTGAGCTTCACACTCAATTGAAAAACATATCCCTTCTGGGGTTGCAGTCAATATTACCCATGCATTATTTATTAATTTTATTCCAATACAAACTAGAGAATACTCTTTCCAAGCTCATTGTAAGCTTATACTTTTTCAGAAATAATAATTATTTAAGTGAAGTTATTAACTCTAAGACACTTATGAATGTATAAATAAGTATATTCTAATGTGGAACCTTTCACATAAATCTTAGGGTTTCTCTCTCCTCAAATGACTGCTTAATTTGTCTATTGTATAATACCTCCTTGTATCAAATATCAGGCATGTTTTTACATAGGTAGGGATGAGTTAGGAACAACAATGACAAAGCCCAACTGAAGCGATTCAGATTCCAGCTCAATCACTGATTATTCTTGAAAAATAGGGAATGTTTCCTTCGATCCTTAGGCTTCCTTCTCCTCATCTCTATAACTAGAAAATAATGCTAAAGACACCATAGGCTACTGTGGAAATCAAACATGTTAGAACTTGTAAAATATTAGATTAGAACAGTGCCTGTCATATAGTGAGCACTCAGTAAGTGTGAGATCTTACTATCAGAACTGCATTCTTTATTTCCATTTTCTTTATATTTCCATTCTTCAGTATAGCAACACAGTGTTTTGTTCAGGAGGTAGATTAGAAAATATCATTATGTGATATCTTCAGCTTTTTGTGTGTATAATTAGTATGAAGTATAGCAAAACAGAAAAGCTCTAATACTTTTCATTTGGGCTATCTGAGTGGATTGGACAAGAATGACTGAAGTTAAAGAAACATGTGGACTCCTCAAGCCAGCCATTGCCTCTTTCTCTTTTATACATGGAAGTAACTCCTAATCATCAGAATGTGATACCAGATGAGCACTCTTAGGTGTTCTCATTTTTTTACTTTTGTTCCTTAGCCCAGTGAGATGACTGTTTACCACTGTCTGGTAATGTTTGGAATTCCATACTCCCCAAGATATCACTATTTTCAAATTGCTTTCAATATTTTAATACTTGTTTACTGTTTCTGTTCATCAGAAGGTGATTTAAATATCTAAAAATAAAGTAGAATTCAACCAACACTATAGTCCTATTTATTGAGAAGAGCTAACAAGAAGCAAGCATCTTGTGACACATTAATAAACATGTGATTCTCCCTGAGGGGAATTTGCACACTCCCAAAACAAAGAGTGCATTCCACCATCATCCAACTTGTAGCATGACTGCTACATCTCTCTGCCTTCAGGGAAATAGTGTGGAATGGGGTAAATGGGGTAAGGAGAATGCTCCTACAGGATTTAGGGTAAAATCATTAGCACATATTTCAGTTGGCTTTTATTGTTTATAACAGATGGGCTGCAGTCTAGGCAAAAACTTATGAGTGCTGATTTCAATGCTTATTAAAATGGCTAGTGAGACAGAACATGCATGTGTACAGAGAAAAGTTTTATTTATAACTGAGACTTGACAATCAATTACTGTTTCCCATGAAGAAAATATTTATATGGACTTAAAAAATCTAGTTTTCTCTGACAAGGGTAACCCACCAGCATATACCATATATACAGAACATATTGTACAAATAATTCCCATACAGTTACTTTCAATGGCTTGAGGAACTCGATGCCTAATGAAGACAATGATTTGTCCAGATCTATAATCTAGTTAGTGGCAGAAGTAGGATTAGAATTCACATCTTTAACATTGAATTCATTGGTCTATTCTATATGCTACTGGAAAGAATTAGCAGTGGGTTAGCACACAAATATTTTTCATGTATATGTGTGTGTGTGTGTATATATACACACACACACAATTATGATATATATTATATGTATACAAATATTCATTGTCCATATATATATACATATATATATATATATTTAGCATTTAAAAGTAAAAAAAAACAATTACTATCCCTAGTACCTGCTTTTATATTATTGTATACTCCAAAATTAATATCTCCAGGAGAAAGAAAAAATATGATCTAGCTTAAATTTCTTTTAAGGT